AATTTAACGACATGAGTTTCTGGGGCTGACATCGTTTCGGAGTATTTTCGGTCGGTGTTGTTTTTTTATAGAGCTGTATAAATATTCAGAATAATTTTGGAAATACTGCACAATAAGCTTTATTGGCAGAGAATACATATGTAATAGAGTAAATAATATATAAATTAATAAGTAAAAAAAGAAATCAAATAAAATTTAAAATGTACAAATCGAAATTCAATAAAGACTATCATAGATCTCTATTTTATGTAGTGCTCGTTCAATCGTTTTTTAATAAATTTCTTTTAAATACTCGGCTAGCATAACTGTTAAAGTATTCTCTATAAATAATAACGAAGAACATAATTATATAGCTTTTATGAAAATCCAAGGATTATAATACATATGTAAAAATGCAGTATACATTTTTGTAAATTCTTGGTTTTTTTTAGTACCTTGAAATCTCTGCTTTTCTGGGTTTGATAAATATACATCACTTTAGTAATTTTTTTCATAAGATAACAAGTAATAGACTAGGAAAAACAGGTAGGAAGGAACTCTACTACCTTTTCTTTCCTAAAATATTGTTTTTGTATCCAAGGATTGTTATTTCGCTGACAATAGACATCCTTTTTTTTCTCTTCCTAACATTATTATTTTGTTTTTAAAAATTACCGAATCCGAACTGGAGAGCTTATTATTATAATAAAAATAATACAGACGAAAAAAATTGTTATTGCTATTGCTTCAAATTTCATTTTAACTTTTATTTTATGTAAAGAATAAAACAATGAAATATCAGTTTCTCTATAAAAATATACTACAGGGAAACTACTCTTACATTTAGATTTCAGAAAAATATATTCCAATTGACAAGACAAAGCCTTTTCTTCCAAAGGATGAGGTCACTTACTAAGCCACGATCTGACATGTAAAAATCCTCTATAAACGAAGTGGATTCATACAACTATTTTCCTTACTTTTCTATATGAATAAATTACATTTAGTCAGAAAATAAATTTAAATTTTATTGATTATTGCGTTAAGAATCAGTGATCTTTTAATCCTTTATTCATTTGTTCAAGATTTGTAATTGTCTATTTCTAAAGTGCTCGCCCAATATATAATTAATAATTTGAGGCCATATTGCTTGAATGTCACGTATTATATTAAATTTTGTATTAAATTATTTTTTAAACATAGCAAAAGCCAGTTACGAAGTCTTTGTTAATTATTCAAGCCTTTGACCTCCAGTAAAACTGAAATTTAATAAGGATATTATGTACGTATTTAAGAAACAGTTTTTTGTAACCTTTTCATTACGTTTATACACAACTTCTATTTTGATTTTCCAATGTTTCTTAGCGATTAGTGAACTGTGACTGTAATGTAATCACTTTTTTTCGACATATATCACTTTAATTCCTGTATAATATTAATATTCAAATAACTTTTCGGCTTGGTCTTGCCTCTGTTTTTGAATATAAAGTATAAGACAAGGAGAAAAATGCGTGTCACATATATGATAAAATAAAAATAAAATTTTTACAGATATTTTTTCTAATGTTAAATCAATAGAGAAGTTCTCTTTGTTCTTATACCAATCAATAAACTTATGTATGCTTGAGGACACTAATAAATATTGATTGACGGCCGTACCCTATTGTTAATCGCTTCTAATTTAATTAAACTTGCATCATGATTCTGTCACACGAACCTAGGCCTGATTCTCAGAACATTAAATATGTATCAAGCCATTTCTGAATACAAAAGAAACACTAATGGCTTAGACCGACTCCTAGTCTTATCAGATTGTCATTAAATCTCACGCTGATATTGTCGCACCTTGTATTCACTAAATGAAATATATTTGTGAGTCATAACCATAACGAAATAGATTTTGTATTAAGTTTGAAATGAGGAGAAGGTTCTTAATTTGATTGTATTATTATGGTTTCTCGCCTCAATCCGCAAAACGGAACTCTTATAAGAAGACTCTGTAATCCGTCTTATTCCTTGAAGTAGTAAAGAAATTAAACTTCTTAATTAACAAAAACAAAAGATGAGGACTTTGATTTCACATATTATGGCACCAGAAAAGGAGAACTTCCAAAAACTAACTATGGTTACAAGTTACAACTCATAATAATTAATTTGGTTATATGAAAATTTTACAAAACAAAAAGTTGTTTCGGCATAAACATCTGTTATATAATAATTTATTAACAAATATAGTTATGTATTAAACGGCAGTTATTCAAATTGTTTCTGGTAATTAGACTTACCTTCACAACTTTCGGTTCAGTCTTCGTTATTTTGATATTGATTTTGATCATTCTTTTGAACTTGTAATGCAAATGAATGATATTTTTTTTTTTAATTCTGATACTGTTAGCTTCTTGTACATATAATATAAACATTTTATTATAAATACGAAAGTTTATCTAAGTGTATTTTTGAATGTTCGTAGTCCTTATCCCATAAACTACAAAAAGGATATTTTCTAACTTAACGTTAAACAGCCCGAGTATGTATCATAGATCGATGTTCCAATCTTCATGGCTGATATCATTCCAAAATGGTTGTGTAGTACCTGCAGGATTTTAGTATAAAGGTTTCCATATCATAAGTTTCTATTTTGATCTTCGTGGTTTTTCATTCACAATTAGTCAAAAATGAGAGTATCAATGTAGGAATCTACATTAATGAAAAACTGAAAACAGTCTGTTTTATGTTTGACGAAGCAAAACCACAAATAGGAATTCAGTTATATTTTGTATGAATTTTTTTGGCACAGAGGATAGATGGCGCTGATGGTTGATTCTCATAATTATATATATTTTAAAACACACAAATACCCATGTTGATGCGGCCGAAGTTATGCCCACAAAACTGATATATATATAAAATGCAAAACTAACTCTACCACTCAACCAACTGTATTTCACGAGGAAAAGTAAATTATGTTTAAACTGTCACTGTATAGCTCGTATGTCACACTAAATGTATTCAGGCTGAAAATTATTCACATTTTTTTTATATTTTTTTTAGCACGGGGTGGTATAAATTATGAAAGTAAATATAATTCGTGAGGGTCGCGCATCGCCTGAATACAAAGAGGGCTTCAGATTTTTCGTTCAGAACGTGCGTGAGCCGAAGGTCGAATCTTACAGCCCGGGAGTTTCCTGTTACCATTCAACGACTGTTTGGTGAAACTTTCTCCTTATTCTTCTGAAAGTTGTCCTATATCTTACGATCCATTACCTTTAGCGCCTTCTCTAACATCGATTTGGAGTAGCCATCAAGCTACCGTTATGACAAACGTTTTGTTTATAGATATTTTATGCGCATACATGTATGCCTTTATATTCTTTGTCTCCTTTATAAGCAATAAACATACCCTCTTTATATGAGAAATGTTACATAGTAGTCGTTGAATGAATGCTAATATTAAATATCATATATTTTTTGTTCTGTTATATATTTTGAATTCTTTTATTAATTTAATATGAATATGAAAAGCTTTCAATATGAAATATTTGTAATACTTTTTTATTGGATGATTTAACAATTGTGGACCTATGTATCGACTAAAAAGAATACTTGCATATATACATTTTCTTAATAATTATAGGTTTTCCAATTAGAAAACTAAGGGTTGATAAACAACTCGAAAAATAAATAAAGAACATCATCTATTCACGAACTGAAAGAAATCATGCATGTTCTAAGCTTTTCTTGAAGCTTATTACATAATAAAGACATTTCGTTGTGGGATGACGCTCTGGTATGCATTAGGGCTAAAGGACAAAATTGGGTAGACGTTATATGTGTAAATATTTCGTTAACAACAAAACTAACATTCAAGGCATTGTTGAAACTATAAAATTCGTTACCTAAATAAATTGCTTTTCACTGCTCGATAGCAATCACCTTTAAGTATAAATGTATCTATTTATATAAAATTTCTATTTTATACTTCTTTCAATTTATTTTAAAACGAAATTCAAAGACATTCGATATGGTTATTGAATAAACCCGAGTCAAGAACAATAAATTGTGAAGATCTATTCAAGTGTTACCCGTCCAAATTATGTTCGTAGGATTCCACATTTCTGCAAGTTCACGATGATGTTGCCATAATTTTGTCGGGTGCACGATATCTTATCTTTTGGGATGCGTGGTGAATGTGCGTATTAGTCGGGGGCTCGGGAGCCACGCCTCCCTCACCGTCTTTTAACGTCCGATTGCGAAGATGCGCGCGCAATCTACCCCATCTAAAGGTCACGTTATATGGATGAATTAACTTTATCAAAGAAACAAAGCTGGAATTTATTCTTGCTTAAATTCTGTTGTAAATATAAAATGTCTATTTGTATATGATAAAAGGTATATTTGTTAAAGTCAAACATTTTTTTTATATTCAGTATTACTTATAGTAGTTTTTTTTATTATTTTGGTATGTTAAAAAAAATTTATCGTGATATATAAAATTCGTTATTTTTATACAATGAGATCATATGATTACGTCATGACATTACATGTGTTATTGATAGTCAATGTCGCTGAGTTATAACAAAAATTTATATGAGTAAGACGTAATTATAAGTGTGAACACCACTTAATATTATACGTCGTTCTCGCGATGCGTTTCGAAAAATCTGTAGCTAGAATCAGTAGCGGAGCGCCACAGTACAGCCGCCGAAACTAAACGACAACCAAGTACCAACTGACTATTGCCATCTAGCGGCGGGCTTGGTACTAACAGCCCACCTGCCTGTTTCGAGCAATGCTAGCTGACGAACGACATTCGCCGTCGCGCTCGCACCAGTGGCACGTAAAATAACCTCAAAATATTCGAACACTAACCATACAAAGTATTATCATAATTGTCTGTTCATCAGTGACATTCGTGAATTATAAAAACAGTAGAGTTAATTGCGTAGCTTATCTCATTGTATTAGATTCATCATAAAGTGTTACATACGTGTGAATCTGTCAAAAACGAAAGTTAAGGACAAATGTTCGTTTTGGTGGGCTGTCAACGGGCAGCCCCCAAATATTGTGCCATTATGTGGTGGTATATATTTTTCTGTGTAGTTTTTACTCAAACAATTGAAGTGCTTGGTACAAATGCAACCGGATCAATCCAAGTCGGCAGTAAGTTTCTTTTATTGTGATTCTGAATGTATTTAAAACATGTATATTTAGATAGAAAATATTTGCTTGGATTTTTTTTTACTATAAGTTTATTTTGTTTATCATCACAGAGTTGAGTTTTTGTTGTAGTTTGTTGTATTAAGGATTGTAGTTGATATTTACATTCACATGAATTCAATAACGAGTTTCTTCCGTATGCACGTGTTTTTTACCTGTATCTTGTTTACTTAGTTTTCGTCTTATGTAGTAAATCATATAAAATAAGTATATAGATTAGATAACTAATGTCACGCCACGTTTACTTGGTAATATTTGAATAATAAAACAATCATTATAGATATACATTTTTTGAAATATTACCTGAATGATATTTTATTACGTATGCATTAAAATTTTTAAATTATTGTCAAGATAATTAATTGATATCGAATGTTACGTATCATTAAATACATTTAATGTCAACATTTAAAGATTAATTTTGCTTGTTTGATTTAAGATGTAATAAAATGATCGAATACCAGAAATTAAGGATTTATCTTGTTTAAGCTATATACAAAGTAATAAAAACAATAAGCACATTTGTATTATGTCAACACCACGGACACACAACATCAAGTTTTTATTTCCAAGTAATAATTATTTAATACAAGTTAACTGTTAATCAATTCAAGGCCACAATTACTAGCTATTCTTAGCTGTACAAACACTTTCTGACATCATATAAGTGTGATCAATATGGTGTCTATGTAATAAATAATTATTAAACTTGATCCAACTCGATTCTAGTTACGATCTAAACATCCGCTTATGTTGCTCTGTATTCAGTCAGTACTGAATTGTCTATGCTAATTTGTACTTCCGATGCATGGCGTATAGCGCTATAATTAGTATTGAGATTATATTGTTTCATTGTTGTTGGTGTAATTTATTACGTTAATTAACGAGAAATTATAGTAATAATATTGATAAGTATAATACTTTGTATATTAATTTACTCATACCGATTTTATATTTGTGAACAACCTAGTGTTTTGCATAAACAGAGCACTAAGCATTGCCAAAAGATCAAAATAGCATCATAAACAACCGAAAGTAAAATAAGACAATAATAATTTCCCGAAACGGTACAAAGTTCAAGATATGCGTGGCTTTAAGCCAATTTATATCGTATTTTTAGTCATTTGTCGATTCATTGACTGCAATCCGTAATTCCGACACTATTTTGCATGAAAATCTCGTTGCAATGCGAGCGACGGTGAAATTCCATTTTTGAAAACAAAATATGAAACTGTGATTTGTTTGTCTACAAACTGTCCAGTGACAAATTATGCTACCAAATGTTTCCTACGTCGTTTTGGATGTCTCAATTTGGACATTCCACAGCTGACGCGACGACTATAAAAGTCTCGATGAAAAGAGTACAATACCATTGTGATGCTATAAAATGGGCTTCGTGTTCAGAAGAAAAGTCATTATGTGATAAAAGAATACAAATAACGTGGCTCATATTTTTTCGTGTTAATATTTTCGTAATTTATTTATAGGTTTTTGGGTGGACTGATATTTTATTAATTATTATGTTAATTATTAGAATTTTGCTATCTTCTTGACATATTAAGCAATTGAATTTGATATGTTCGTTAAATATCTTTATTCTATAGTCGATACAATAATACCAATACTGTATAATATATTAAGGATCATTTGTTGTCTAGTCGAGTGTTAGCCGAAGGACTAACAGCATTACACATTACAAAAAATGTTTTACTGTGTTAATATTTTAATGTTTTTTTCCTTTTAACTTTATTTTTCGGTTAATATAATAAAGGTAATAAATATGTTTCTTTTTATTATGTGTGTAAAAAGATTTATCCACCGGTGGCGTTATACGTCTAAGCAAATAAAATTGTTTTCGGATTACCATTTTTCTATTTTATTTCGGTTTTTTTGAAAAACGTCTCTTTTATTTTATCTACTGAATATCTAAAATTTCCAAAGTAAATCATGACGACTAAATCGATTTCGTAGTTTATGCGAGGTTGCGTAACAAACACACATATACAATTTTGAATGAGGAATAATTTAAACTAGGTTACGTGAATGTTTTAAAAACTTTCGTAAGAAGAACGTATAATGTAGTATAACCAGCATTTTAGATATATACATGTATAAAGTTATATATATGCATATTTTCTATAAGTTATATGTGCAGTCGTAATAATTTAAATGTATTGTGAGTGATTATATAAGCATATTGATAACAGTCTCATATCGATCGGACGTTTTGATTACTTTGTAACAATCTTGTTCAGCGCAAGACGAGATGAGTTCTGTATTCAATAAACATTCAATTAGATATGCTCGAGATAAATATCGATATATTATTTTTATTACTTAGAGCATTACCCTTACCACACGTGTGCATCGTCACGCTAGATACTGAGAGCTAACGGTTTTTAATTCGTAAATCTTCGCACAATACAGATATAACTTAGATTATTATTAAATCAGAATCCTAAAGTTTCTTTTGTTTCGTAAATAGTGTGACGGTTCAAACTTGTGCTAAGCTTTACAGTTTGTCTTTGTCGGTGTTAATTATGCAAGGAAATGATGCTTTTATTTGCTATGTATTTTGTACCTTTCATTGGAGTGATCACATTTTAATGATTATCGGTAATAACGCGACTGATAATATCCTTACAAGTGAGTATTCAAAGCATTATCGTAATAGAGACAAAGATAGTCTTTTATACTTCATCTATGCTTAAACGTACTAAAACAATTTTCATTAGAAATTAAGTTCCTATGTATTAAAATAAGTATCTCAATGTACAAATAGTTATATCTATATATAGATACTAATTGTATTATGTATATCCAATTCCAGATAAATTATCCGAAAACGTTAGTTTAATTTAAATGAGTACTCGCGAAAATTTGAGACATTATTGTAATAATAGTTGATGATTAAAGTTTTGCCAAAAAAAATATTTCTTACGCTTGACTTGTGGAGACAAAAGATAGAGAAAGGTATAACTATTAAGTTTATTGTCTGTTTAGTTAATTGTCGACGATTTCTGAATTGGTGTGAATCTTTGATTTGATTTGTCTAAGATTACTTAATACTCTATCCTCAATTTGTAGATATAAAGTGATGAATTGTCAGCTATCAGAATAATTCGTTAATCTACGGTCATCTGTTACAATTATTAGATAACGATTAATTAGTGATTGATTACTTTTGCTCAGCTTCGTTTTATATTAATATTTGATAAAATTAATATTGATTAAACGATCAATCTCATAATTGAGACGTTATTTTCATGTAAAGGATTTGTTATGTATCTGTTCAAGTAAATGAATAATCTTGTTTTGTCTTCATTATAAGGTTATTGATTACAGCAGTCTGTGTTTGTTAGGAGTCTGTATTCAATGTTGACCTCGTCTTTTAATGGACCATTGTCATTAAGCCTACAGCTACCATCCCGTGATGTAGATAGGCAGCTGTGCGATAAGCGAGGGTTAGACATTTAGAACTCTTGATTTCCAAAGCTAAACGATTTTGAACCCATTTTGAATGACATAAGCTTGTTTATCCTATGCATCTGTAGGGACATCAGCTATTATTGAAGCTCCATCCAATTGGTTTCCAGCATCTATTAATTGTCAGCGCTTTGAATATTGTTTATAAGCGTTCGAGATCTTAAAATCGAGAACTTTCGATCGTAAAAATGTATTGGTGAAATATATGGTTGTGTTAATACTAATTTATAATGCACCTAACAATGACCGATTCTTTAATTGTTATAAATATAATTAAATTGAAACAATTATTACTATCGTTTATTCAATAAAGTTATATAATTTTATACAATCGTAAGTACATATCGGAATTTCTTCATCTTAGAGTTCCACTTGGTGTTTTTTTAAATATTATATGTCGTCATTAATCTTGCCAGTGAAAAATATTCAGTATCAAAACATTAACAATTGTTATGAATATATTTAACACTTAGACTTTTTTAATGTGCCTATGTGTTTATAGTTATAACTAATTTCACGACTAGACTATTCTTTTTTATTGGTACATATTATGTAAGTTTAATAAGGAAATGCGAACAATAGCATGTTTCTCGGCCATATATAATCCTTATAGCGTCCAATTTTGCGTTAATTAACGTAACATGTTAAAAGAAATGCTGATAACTCTGAGTCAACCGGCAAGAGGATTAACGTTTGCGAAAATATACAACGCTTTTAAGAGAAACGGAATGGTAAATAGGAGATGGATTTAAAAAAATATGTTATAAAACGTCATACTTTAGAGATGACAATTTTATATTATTCTAGTTTATTCTTTATATTTTCAAAGGCAATTATTTATAGAAGCAGACTTTAAGCTGAGTAGTTTTATATTTCTTCGACAAAGATTTATTATGACGTAAAATGTTTTAATAGACTTTACTTTTACTACAACACTAGTAATTTATATAAAAATAATTTTAATGTATGTTGTGCTTACTATCCGATTACGTAATAACAAAGGAACCAATTCCAATGAAATTTAATACATATGTTTGTATCTATGATGTTGTAGTATGAACTAAATTTTATTATCTTTAATCAGTACAGCAGGCGGACTGGTTAATATCTGATAAAGCAATTAACTAATTGCTATATAAGTTTCGAATAACGGATCATATACTGTCCAATTATCTAGATATCACGTAATTGTGGACAATAATTTGTTTTTTAATTTTCAGTGTTAAGTAGAACTGTTATTATGTTTGACACTTAGTGACAAAAGATTTCTCGAAACTTCTCGAAACGTGATAGTGTTTATTTTAATTACTTTAATGTAACTACATACATACTTCTTATACGATTGTTATGCAAAATTCTCCATATAATAAGGCAGGTCTTTCACAGATCTGTGGTTGATATGTGGAAATGTATATTTAAATAGGTACATAAATTTCGTTACGAAATTGAAAAATCTC